TTTATTTACTCTAACTACTCAAGTCTACTTTTTAGAACTTTCTATCTATCATAGTATCTACACAATATGTTATGCAAAAATCTTTGCTCTTTGGTCATCCCAGAATTGCTTCCAAAAATAGACAGAAATTTCTCAACACATCAGCTGGAATGCAACTTGGCTTTATCTCAACAATAACCAAAAAGTTATCAACTTTGCTTATAGCTTCCAGTTCTCAGCCCTTAAAATATTCAGAGTTAAACTTCTTACCAACGAATTGCCCACCTCTTACACTCTGCATAAAAAAAATTCTCAATACTCAAATACTTGTCATATATGCTAGCAAACTAGTACTTTACAATACTAAGCTATTTGTCTTTCCTCAACCCCTCTATACAAACTTATTACTAACTCACTACAATACTGTCTAACTTCTAACAAACTCCAAATTTCTTCTGTTCAAACTAAACAGCTACACAACTTAATTTTAAATCTTGATAGCTTCTGAATACACCCCTTCTCAAACAAACACTCTATTTTCTTTATACTTTCTGGACTTATTCCTTTTGATATTATACAAATTATATGTAAATTTACTATATCAAACCAAATAGCCAACTCAATTACAATATGACTTCTACTTCACATTAACAAGCAATTCTACACAAACATTTAGATTTCTTATTGTAGCTCATGATCCACACCTCAACTCTTATCTCCACTGGCAATCTTACTTCCTGAATCTTTGCACAATACACATCTATCTATATACAGTTACTTCTGACAATAATATACAAATATCTATACTCAAAGCATCATCATGGTACTTTGACTGGATTAAATTTTGCAAACATCTCTTACAAATACTTAATTTATCTAAAATCTAGATGAGTCTTGGCCACTCTGGTAGATTTAGGCCGTAGATAAAACACTGGGTTCACTTTTATTAAGCATTTAGTTAGTCTGAGTTTTTATTCTTAGTACTAGACTTAAAATATAAAACCTTTTCCAATTATGTAAAAATTTTCATTAAGTTTAATAAAGATAAGAGCATGGTCTCACCTTTAATATTAAAAAAAAAAATAATAATAATATTTTTAGACAGCTTAACCTATCACCTACTAACTACTATAGCTACTATATAGGCCATTTTCACAAACATTCCAAGTTCTGGTTCTTAACTTTTTTTTATAACCAAGCCATTATTGCAAAGCTCATTACCAATTTACAAACTCTGGCTTTATATTAATTACATATTGGCAATACAACCTCCCAACTATCTCTTCTTCAATATACCCTATTTCTGATATTATTTTAAGCCCATGTTCTAATTGCTCTCTTAATTCTTCTATTATTAATAGCAAATATACTCTCTTTATTTCAACTAGTCATGCTACCAAGTTCTTGAACAAACTAAACCCAAACAAATCTATTAATTTTAATGCAAACCCTCTCAACCTTTTAGATTCAATCAAACTTAGAAAGACTACTTAAACCTTAGCACTTCCAAACCTTTTAATACTTATCTCTCAAATTTCCTTAATTTTTATAAATAATATTGCTTTTAACACTCTTCAACATATTGCAACTTCAATTTTCACTCCTCATACTTTACTTTCTATACAGATAGATCTGTAATTAACTTAGACAATTTCCAATACTCTATGGGTATTGGCTAGATACAAGTCAAGAACAACAAAATCCTTAATACATTTCAGGTACAAATCTTACTCTGGTCCTGTTCTTTTAAAGCTAAACTATTTGCAATCTTATCAGCTATTTGCACTACTTCTAGAAACTGCAATATTTAAATTTTTACAGACTCTCAATTAGTAATTGCTAAATACAACAGTCTGACCCAAAAAACAACCAACTATTAGCCTCTAAATATTTTTACTAGTCTATTTGGAATATACTTCTTAACTTTACTAAATTCTACAATTTAAAAATCACTTTTCACAAAGTTAAAGCACATTATAATGATAAATTCAACAACAAGGCCAATGAACTTGCTTACAACTATCTTAATACACCCTATCTTAAATTTAATCCCAATAATATCTACAACCCTCTATATATATTTAATTATAATAAACAACCCCTTAAACTCTATCCATTATAGCATTTGAACTATCTGCTATGCAAATATTTTTGCTCTCTGGTCATTTTACAACCACTTCCAATCATGGCTAAACATTTTTCAACACATTAACTAGCTTTATATTAATAATAACTAAAAAGTTTCTAACTTTGCTCACAGCTTTTAGTTCTCTACACTTAAAACATTTCAAGTCAAGTTACTCACTGATAAACTTCTAGTACCACACACCTTATACAAAAAAAATTCACATTTCTCTAACACTTGCTACATATACCAATCAACAAGCACTCCACTACAACATATATTAAACCCTAACAAACTTCAAATTTCTATAATGCAAATTAACCAGCTATATAACCAAATTATCAATCTTGATAGCTTTTAAATTCATTATTTCTTATACAAACTCTCTATTTTTTCTACCCTCTCTGAATCTATCCTACTTGATATAATAAATACAATTTATGAATTCACTACCTCTAACCAAATAGCTAATGATCTTACTATAAAATTTCTCTTGCATATCAACAAGCAGCTATATACAAAGCTTTAAATTCTCTACTATAGCTCAAGACCCCAGCTCCAACTTTCTGAACCTCAAGTAACCTAAATCCTATTACAAACACTTCCTTAACTTCTTCACTAACATCTTTATCTAAAGTTGCAATCTAGTATTTTAACTAGATTAACAATTACACATGCCCATCCTAAATATTTAACTTACTTCAAATCTAGGTGAGCCTTGGCTACTTTGGTAGGTTTAGGCTACAGATAAGTTTCCAAGTACACCTAGCTTAGGTATTTGGTTATGTATTTGAGTTCTTATTCTTAGTAATAGACTTAAAATATAAAACACTTTCTAATTTTGTAAAAAGTTTTCATTAAGTTTAATAAAAATAAGAGCATAGCCTTACCTTAAACATTAAAAAAAAAATATATAATATATTTTTATAATTTAGAGCATAAATATATAATTAATTAATAAATTTTAAAGATCATAATATTTTTCATAATTTTATTAATAAAATTATAAATAATTATATGTTTCTTAATATTTTACTAATTAATTATATACCTGGAAGAGGTAGACAAATACAGTTCTGTAAAATATTTGCCAAGAATTTTGTTATATATAGAAAGAGAGATAACAATATTGTAGATTCCGTATTCAATAGTAGAAATAATAACAGTGTTAATAATGTAGGTAATCTGCTTATCAGTAATATTTTTAGTATTTGCAATATTGGCTAGATGAATAGCTTCACTACTACTTCATTTTAACTCTCTTATAACTTAAACTATATAACTTTTAACTTTATATTATTGTGTATTAACCTAGATATAATCTTTTTTTTTTTTATTAGTTAAATAAACTTTCACAAATAAAATGGCTTGAATTGCAGAGTTTATTAATTTATTATACCTATAGGCTAAATTTAAACATTCAAACATACTTTTTATCTAAATTCCAAATTACTTTGTGGATTACTAAATTATTTTGAAAGTTTATAAATCTGAGGATATTATTTCAATTTTTTTAGTATTGAGTTTCACCAAATTGTATCTGTGGCCACCAAACCATTTTTGTAATGGCGAAATGTTATGCCAATATGTAGAACATATTGTGTAACATATTGTGTCAATCATCCAATTAAATAAAGCCCTCTATGCTAGGTTACTATAATATAATGTACATCTAGGAGTATCAAAAAATAAGTGCAAGAGTATTAAAAACGTAGGTTTTGCTACTGAGGTAGGGACGTCGATTTTTTTTTTGGATTATAGGTAAATTTTTTTTGAATAACGCAAAAAATTTTGGAAATTTTTGGATTTAGCCGGCATTAAGAAATTAAATTTCATAATTCGGGACGTCATGTGTTTCACGTGACTTTGAATTAATGCCCAAAATTTTGCTATTCCAAAATCTCGAAATTTTGAATCATATGAAAACAACCAATCAGATTAATAGAAATTAATAGACACATGATCTGTAACCAATCAAACCGTTAATATCATGCATAAAATTTTGGTTTTTTATGGATAATCCCCAAAATTAAGGACTATCCTCAAAATTTATGGAAAATTATGGATCCATAATTTTCAGCGTCCCTGGTTGGAGTCGATCATTAAGATCACGTGGTCAAAGTAATTGGAAATCACAAGGTCAGTACCACTTTTAAATCACTACTGTATTACATCACCGAATATTGTACGTAACTTATGTAGTGCGTAGAACAAAGTGTTTTGGCGTTTACTTAAAATCTCCAAAATGTAAATATATGCCCAGAAACAGTCTAAGTAATTCATTTATTTCACTTTTTGTATCGTCTTACAATCAATCATAAAGACAAAAAAATTTTTGTACACATCTAAAAATTTAATGTATTTAGAACTCATTTACCAAAAAGAAAAGGTTAACTAATTTTATCCGTGTGTTCTTATTGCCTCTCTCAATGAGCTTATCGAACGACCTTAACGTTAATTTATTGTGATTATAATTAAAGTCGGAGTTACGATCATCTATTATCTATATTATCGCTACAAATTTACAGTAAAAATGTTATAAGAATCATTTTAATTAATTGAAAATAATTGAAAAACATTTTGGTTATTAGTAATTACATTTGAGAACGGCCTAAAAATAATCTTTGAACAACGTCACGCCATCTATTTTTTGATTATGCTACATAAATTACTATATTAGTTTATATAGTTATTTTGTCGTGTACATGAGTACATTTTTGTTCACGATCATCATTTCTACGTAGAATCTTAGATTTATAAAAGTTATTAATTTTGGTAATTCTTACGTAAACATTAAACTGCGTTTATAAATGCGCCAATAACTATTTGATAACTACATTTTGTAAATACTTCAAGAACAATTTATAAAATTAATATTTTTCTCGAAATATTAAAAATGAAGAAATTAATAATTTGGACAAAATCATTTTTAATATTTTTTATATGCAATATTGCAAATATTGTATTAATTTTTGCGAATGATTCCACATTATGCTTTGATCGACCAGATCCATTAAAGCCTTATTATCTAGAAAGAGTATCATGTCCAATGGTAACAGAAAATGAAACTTATTCAAACTTAAAACGTGATACTAATATGTTCAATTTGACTTTTATTTGTGGAATCAACGATCAAACGCTTTGTAAAAAAGTAAAAAGTGCTTTTGAATCTGCTGAAAAAATTCTTTCTGATACAATTTTATTTAAACAAACAGTGAATGTTAATGCCACATTCACTAATATTTGTGCCGCATATGGTGCTTGTAATACTGTAAATTCAGGAATTGAAACTCAAGTCATTGGTAAGCGATATTATAATCAATTAATTTCCTATATTAAAATTATGGATAATACCCTAGGCAAACAAACCCAGGATATTATATCAATCAATTAGTGAGTAAAAAAACTCAATATATTGACGTAACTAGCGATTAAATAAACTCAGTCTATTGACGTAACTAGCGATTAAATAAACTCAGTCTATTGACGTAACTAGCAATTAATTATTTTCCAATACACTTGTCGAAAATAATAAGTTCATCATAATTGAGATTATACTAAATTATTGATGAGATTGCAATGACCATTATACATTTAACACATCCGATGAGCAATTAAACTAATTTCAATTAGGGTGAACTTGGACTGTATTAATTTTAACTTAATTAGTGATATTTTTGTTTATTAATAATGTGTATCTTCTTACTGTATGTAGGTGGTGCAGCTCCATCAAGAGTTATGATGCTCAGGGATGATGATGGAGTTAATCGATTCTATCCTCAGTCTCTTGTAAAACAACTAGGAAATACAAATCATCCAAAATATAGTGATTATGATATTAATGCTATTTTCAATAGTGAAAACGTTTCATATTGGTTTAAAGAAGATGGGAATATAAAATATAATCAGATAGACATGGAAATGGTCATATTACATGAATTGGTACATGGATTAGGATTTATTTCTAGCCTTAATGATTATATGAATGATCCACCAAAAGGGTTAACACCTTATGTTATTGGTATTTTAAATACTACTGGAACTAATTATCATTTTATCGAAGACATGTTTGATAAGCTCATGTCTGTGGTTTCCACAGGTCAAAGTGTGTCAGATATTGTCAAGCAAATGGACGTTTTTGGTGATGTGCAATATGTTACTCCGGAAAGTTTTACAATAACATTTGAATCATCACCTCAATATAAATTGGCAACAGATTTATTTTCAAAAGCTACTATTCCAAATTCTTTAAGCCTTTTAAGTGGGGATGATACTATAATTCTTGAAACGTCATTAACTCCTTATAATTATAAATCAAGTATTGGTCACTTTAGTTATCAAGAGTATAGTAATACCAGTGATTTCTTAATGAGATATTCGGTCGAACATGGAGTAACACTTCAGCAATATGTAGCAATGGGTGGGAATTATGCGAACGGTCCAATAGGCCCAAAATTAAGAGCATTTCTCAAGTCTCTAGGGTATATTTTTCATTTATATTGTTTAAATCAACCAAGTTATTATATATTTTTAAGCAATAAAAATTTAATTGAATTGATTTATAGGTATACGGTTCGTGATTCAACATCAGGAACCCAAATTAGAATATCTACAATTATTTCAAAAACGAAATTAATAATTTTGAGCATGTTAATAATTTCATTAATGAATTTTATTACGTCACCTTGTGAAATAAATGGATTTCCTTTATAGAAACAATATAGATCTTATTTAATAAGATATTACAGTAAATACAATCAATCTAATTGATCTTGTCCGTAAATATTTGCGCAACACAAAATATGATTTAATTTTAAAATTATAATTGTAAGTTTAGCTGTTCATCTTGGTGTATACTATAATTCTTTATTCCTTTTGTTCATTGAATACGTTTAGCTCATTCATTCTTCATATCAAACAAATCTTAATTCCACCTGATTGTTTGTATAAGAAATTAATTCTCGATATTAATAAAGAAATTCAATGCAAGTATGAATAACGTATACGTATTTAAGAACTAAAGGATTTAATTCATTGAATTAAGCGATCGTTATACAGTCGTTAAACTTTATAATTGCCATATTAAGAGAAATTATAACTCATAGCCCAACATTTTGTTAAAGAATAGACTTATCAAGAAACAAAAAATTTTAAGAAAATTTTTGAAACCCTTGCATTTGGGAATTGTTAATGACTACTAAAGAAGATTTAAAAATTGTAATAGCAGAATAGTTCAAGGGTAGGTTTAAACTTATTTTTACAATGTATAATCGTAAAAACATTGGTTTTGACCCATTTTTATTGATCTGCCTTAAAAAGATTCGCATCAATTTTAATCAATATAACGTGACATGCACATTATGTCCGAATATGTGTTTAAAAGCTGAATTACTAATTTCTAGAAGACAACCCTTTGAAAATAAGTGAGCTGTTGGAGATACTTCTTCCCTATGTACAGTTATTGATTATTGAGAATCCAATGTAGATTAAAAATATTTAGCCAGTGCAATTTTGAGTTGAAGAAAAGCAATGGAGTGTATTTCTTATTTTAAGATGAAGTCATATGAGTGCGTTCATACTTTTCAAACTGAACTTTTTTACACTGTTGAAAAGAATGATATGTGGATACTTTCATATCTATTTGAATATCATCTTTTTTTATAATATTGTGATGTACTTGTCGTGCTGACTCACGATACCCACAATGAGTTTTTTTTTTTGCATTATTATTATTATTATTGGGAGGTGAGTCAATAAAGTGGTCAGGTGGACCAAGAAAAACGAGTTTGATATATAATATATTGTAGTCTTCATAGAAGTGAACATTCCTTTGCATAATACGTGGAATGTAAATAGTAGTGGCGAACGAAAACAGCAATCATATGAAAATCAAATAATCAAACAGCTCTTTATAGTTAGGATGAGAAAGATCCATTCTGTATTCAGCATTTCGGTCTTAACTTATTTAAGCCATATGCAAGTATGTTACATGCCTGTCTAACGTGCATACAGTATTCGTCTTTTTTTTTAATAATATCGATATATAGCGATAGAGATTTTTTATAAGATAATCTATCATCAGAAAATTTCGGAAATTTAAAATAGAAATAGGATTTTTTTTAACGCCACTTATTTTCGAAATAAGTTAATTTTAAATGAATTGAAATAAGAATTCATTTTCAAGAGTAAAGTGGGCTTTTATTTTGGTTATTATATTAGGTGTCGTATATTTTTAGACCAAAATTTTTAAATATCTATTTATGTCTAAATTTTTGATATTATATTTAAAATTTATGCAAACAATTATATTCTTGAGTATATTATAAATAACTCATTTAGAAAATTAAGATTATACAGTATATATGTCGTACGTCGGTATTGAATGATCGTAATAGAATTCTAAAATGTGCTCAAGTTGTTAAAGAATTCTTTACAATGAAATTATGTGTATTCCAAATTATTTCATCGAGTACGTTGTTTTGGATTTAAATTACTTTAAGATATAATTTATTCATAACATAGTGCATTACAAATTAATTAAATTTAAAAAGTATGGCACGAAATTTTTATATCTATGATTAGTGGGATAGTAACCATTCCTATAGGGTATATTTATTTTACATTTACAGCGATTTTGTTTCATGCATTTTTGCAATTGCATTTAATATTATCTACTTGTGTACTTGTGAAGAGGATTGCATAATAGAGTATAGAAAGAAACTATTTTATCGCTCTTTTCAAATTAGTGTGACCCCTGCCGATCATCTCTCACTCTAATTTTAGTGCATTTTTTGCGAATAAATCTAAATTTCTTGCTAACAATTAAAAATTCCCAAGATTCCTCTTCAATTCTCGCTTTTTCAATGCTTTATCAAGTAATATACAAGAGCTAGTTGTTTGTGCAGCTAAATAATTTCAAGCCTTTTCTTGTATCATAATTAATTTATTTTTAAACTTTGAACGAAGTTATCTTGACACCACCAAGTCAAATTTGATGAATTTTCTTATTAAAATTCTACAAACAAGTAAAATTCAAATAAAGAAAAGTTTATTAAATTTGGCATGGTGGCTGTTGAGTTATTTTCTTTCAAAGTTTTAAAAAATTCTCAAATAAAAGTTTTTCTCAAACTTTAACTTGACCAAGTCAAATTCACTAAAGTTTTTTTTTTTTTTTTGAATCTTGTAAGACCTTAATACAAAAACAAAGTTTTCACGTAAGGTTCTATGTTGCCTATTTGCCGACTCATTACTAAAATATTTGGAATGCAATTTTTTGAATAATTTACGGGGTAAAGGTGGGTATTAATCTTCGCCATCAGGTAGAGAGAGTTGCAAAGAATGAAAAAATGAAATAAAAAAAAAAATAATAAAAAAATATTTGTATTTTATCTTGACTATAATCACTTCTCCAAACATTGCTAACTGAATTTTAATATCATTCCATCATTCATTCTTACTTCATTCTCTTCGTTCTTTTCATAATTCACTAAATCATCACATTTATTATAAAATCTATCTGGATTAAATTTTAGTAGTTCATTTCACACATCAAAGCGCTTAAACATAACTCTATGAAATATGAAAATTTCCACTAATTCCAGATTTGAACTAATAGTTATAGAAATTACCAGTTGTAATAGATAAGTTTCTTAATTATTGATTCGCAATATTTGAGGTTATCTAAATGTTTAAGAGAAATTTTCGCATTCTATCATTATTGAATATTGAATCAAGTTCTTTGCAGAAGCGGGTTACAACTTGTGGATACTGTGCAAGATAGTACACTGCAATAGGTGCTAATAAATGTTACTGCTAAGTTGCTAAATAATTAATAAATTTTCATACACTTAAAAAAAAATTTAATACTTGTTTTGTCTTCAGGTTTTCGAATAGCAGTATGACTAAATTAGGTAGCAAAATTTATTTAATCGTTCATACGAAATTATTTATTAACAAAAAATTGAAAGTTTAAAACTCAAAAGAGCAAAACGTTGGTATTAAACAGCAAAAGAATTATTTAAAGAAAAAAAAAAGTTTAATCAATATGTAATCATGCGAAAATAATATTTGAAAAGTTTCATCCAATTGTCTTCGTTACAATAAGGTGTTTTGAAATAATCAGAAAATGTTATTCGGAGATTAAATGAGTAATCTTATTAATTTTTTTTTCAAGAATAACAAGAGTACTATTAGTATTCTAAAATATTATTTGTCTTTAATATGTAATTGACTATCAGGCCTTTTAAAATATGAAAGCTATAAAGTTCGAAAGAAAATTCACAATCGTAAAAAGTTTTGATAATTATAAATAAGCTTACAGATAATTCGAAATCATAACCCCCCCCCCCAATGGAAGGTTTCAATTTCAGATAAAATAAGTGACGTATTTATTTCAAAATAACGACGTACAAATTCTATTTTTGGTAGAGTATGTACTTATTTACATAATTGCTTACCTGTTTAATTTTCTGAATTGGAATTTTAAAAAAGAAAATAGGATCTTTTAAACTCTCACTTATTTTTAAAAAAATTTAATTCTAAAACCCAATGTACGCATTTTCCATATTCAGATAAGCTTTATAATCACAATCAAGATACATATCGTGCGTGCAAGTGCAGTGTGCTATGTGAAATATAATTAATTTTTGTGAATCAAAATTTGGGATTGAATTTAATATTGGTAGTATTGTTGGTGGTAAAACCAACTGAACTAACTGCATCGAATCCTAAGTCACGAGGCCCAAAAACGTGACCAATACCCCAAGTTGGAGCCCACGAAATCACTAAGAAATCATGGAGGAATCATTGCGAGAAAATTAAGGACCAACCCAGCCCAAACACCCCTAAGCACCAAGCCTGGGAAAGCCTTAAAAATCTGTAGAGTTGCAAGGGAGTTCTTAAAAATCTTATAAAAGAATCTTGATGGTATCTTTGATAAAATCAGTATCTAGATGGCCCCAAGACCAAGTAACAATAGAACTCCTGGCTGAGGCTTAAGAGGAGAACTATGAGACACCTGCTTGGTTCAAAACAATCAACCAAGCATCGCTCAAAAGGGATAAAGAAGGCTGTATCATTGTTGGGCAAATAAAAATGCAGGAAAATTGGGTAAATCATGTAGCTGTGTAAGTCAGATGTTTATATCCATGTAAAAAGGGATGATATAGAATAGAAATTGCATTAGAATCATTAACAATGGTGTGATAGAATGAGGAATTTTTCTCTTCTGTAGTTTTTTTTTTTGTTGTAATTTTCATATAAATAGAGTTGTCATTTGCTCAAATTTTAGTGTAAGAGATCAGTTTAAATAAAAAAAAAACAATAAAATTTGAATTAGATCCTATTTTATTGAGATTCTATTCACTCCTAAAGATCTTCATTTTAAACCTGCAATAAACCAATTCAAAGCCTTATCTTGCCAATTCGTAATCACCTCTTGCTCTTTGGTTTGTTGTAAGGTTCTTCTTTTTTTTCTTGTTTTTGGTTTTGTGTAAGTTTTGAGTGGCAACTATCTAGCCATGGTTTTCTAGCATTGCTACTAACATTTTTGGTGCTGACTGTGTAATCCTATATTAGGATCTCAGTATTCTTTTTATTGTAATTTGTTTATTTATTATTTTTTTTTTTTGTATTGTCTTTTTGGGACTAACTAAGTATATCACTATAAAAGTTTTTTTTTTTGAGTAAAAACAGCTAGTAACCCACTTCAAGAA